ACAGAGTACCTGTTAGTGCGAGCGAAGCCAGACCTGGGCAAGATTTCAAGTGTTACAGACACAATCCTGAAGGCTATATGCAGAGCAGCGTGACTTTTCCATGATGCTGGTTAAGAAGATGTGCCATTGCAAATTCTTCTTCTTCTTTTTTTTTTTTTTTTTTTTTTAAGGCTGCTGAAGTTTTCTTGGGCCTTTATAGAGTAGACGCAGCTTAGGAGTGTTGTGGGTGCCAGGGGACTGAACCTAGGGAACGGCGTCCTTGGCTGTATTATAAACACGACTTGTCCCTTGGCCCCCCTCATTGCAGATCAGATTTCTAGCTGAGAAATAAAGTTCTCGGGGGAAAAAAATCCACCCTTGGTCCCTTTGTCCCACTTTCCTGTTCACAGACTGTACAGTCTTATATGTCTCCCTCTTTCATCTTTAAAATTAGAAGCTCTCTGGGTCAGAGTCTTCTCCCATGCACATAAGACACCGGTTGTGACAGAGCCATTGCAGACAAAGATCGGGGGTTTATTCCACCAGAGATTCTGGAATTTGGGGAAAAATGCTGGTTCAGACGTATGTTAGAAAATGAAAGGACTCCTAGAGAAGGATTGTCAAAGAAAACTCATTCTGGAAAAAAAGGAAAGTTTCTGTTCTAGTTCTTACTTTATATTTTAATGAAATGGAACGGATGGTTGACCTGAATCTCAAGGACTTCCCAGGCTCCCAGGAAAGCGGCTGGGTCATTCCTCTTTCTGTGGGCTGCCAAAGCCCCGTGGAGCCCTCCAGGGAAAAGAGCAGTTCCCAATCCTACCTTGCCCGTGATGCTGCAAGGTCTGCTTTAGGCAATGATCACTCTGTCATGAGCAACCATTTTACTGGAAAATTTCTGCTCAACTTTAGCTCTGATAATTATAAAGCTTCTAAAGGCATTAACAAATAATGCTGGTTCTGGCTTTGTCTTCAGAAGGTTTCTATCACAATTAATCTTTGCCCACTCTCCATCATTTCTTGCTTCTTGGAACATAGAGACATTGCTATAAATATCCATGAGTATAAATATAGATTTCTATGTACACATATACACTCAAGTGCACAAATTGATATTTTATCATACCATAACCTACTGTGTCATATAACTTAATATAATATTGCATGTCTGCAATGAGAAGACACATTTTTCTGGCCTGGTTAGTCAAAGTGAAGCATCAAAGGTTAATTTCTTTCTGTCTAATATTTGCATGAAGTTAGATCTGACTTTACTGTGCCATGATAAACTTTGCATACTATATCTCATATAAAGGTAAAATATATTTTCCATGACTTAAACCTTTGTGGATTGGTGCTACACTAAGGGCAATTAGATTTAACATCCCTGGAAGCTTCAAAGGCATTTTATAGGACTCACTCTTTTGTTCCAACTCTAGCGCTCAGAGAGACTGAGACATTTTTGGAATGGGTTTTGATGGACTTATATGAAAATTTATATGACTAAGAATTGGATTTGTTCCTCTGGAATATTATGGATTATTTTTATGTTGGAATTACATAAGTGTGCAGAGCTGCATGCAGTTGGCTTAATGTAGCTAAAAATATATTTTCTGATTTCCATTTGGAAAGGTAGCTGGATTTTTCCAGCTTCCCCTCTCAGTGATGACTTTATGGTGTGTATGGGTTATAGATTATAGGAAAAACTGAAATGCACAGCAAAATCAAGGGTTTTAAAATGAATTAATATTTGATTATATCTTTGAGAAGATGAATATTGATGCATGTCCTTCTCCACTCTTGATTTTGAACTGTGTGGAAATCCCTTACAAATGGAACTTATTTCAGAGGGACCATCTGGATGTAAACGAAGTCAGGAGTGAGCAGCACGTGAGGAAGCAGAAAGTTCCAGGAGCCGGGGCAAAGCCCTGCTGATGCTTGTCCTGCTTTCATACCATGGCTCATTTGCCTCTGGCGCAGCAGAAATCACGAAGTTTACCCTGACAGGAGAAAACTGTTCCAGGGAGCAATTGCAGATCATGAGCTAGTGGCAACTGCTGTCAGTTGCATTACCCAAAGCTACTCCATCTGTTTCTGCTTCCTAGTCCTTTACCTGCCTCTCTCTATATATATACACACACAGAGTAGACTTTGTTGGACACTGTACTATCCAAAACATGCTTCTTGGAGAGAGATTTTTCTGGCTCCATTTTTGATGAAAATGCTCATGAAGTGTAGGGTGAGCTCTCCTGTTCCAAAAGAGAAGAGATTAGAAAACCTGATCCTTTTATTTTAAACCATTGACTGTCCCATTTAACACTGACCTTTGGCACATTTTGCTCTACCTTCCATGCGGAGCAAAGACACATTGCAGCCCCAAAAGTTTTTAGGAGCTGAGACTGTGGTTCTGTGGGCAGCTTTGCTATTTCCTGAGCAGAAGAGTTTGTGTGTATGATGTGATGTGCCATATCAAGTGATAGGCACATTGACTCTCTGAGGGAATGAATGATGCAAATCTACTGCAATAAAGATGAACAAAGGGTGTCCCTGTAAATTAACAGCACACTTGTTATTTACCTAGAACAAGTGCAATATACAATTGAGGTGCTAACAGGATACTTCCATCAGGTATTTAAATGCTGTGTAAGGTGGAACACGTTTTAGAGCATAAAACCAAAATTCTGGTTTTGTTTTACTGCTTCTGTCCCTGCCCTATGTGTTTTCCAACATGGACATGTCACTTTGACTGTATAATCTTATCATATTTAGATTTGATTTAAATCCTGTCTTTTCTCAGCTGTGTTTGCTAATGGAATCATTCATGCTTTTTATACAGTTGATCTAATAATATTTTCTTCAGTGCTCTCTGGCATTATTTTTTACTTTGTAGAAATCATGGCGAAACGGGCAATATAAATTGAGTCTGCATTTTAATGATATTGATGGTGATTTTCTTGTGTGCTTCTATAAGGTGTTTTGGTGGGTTTTTTTCTCTCTTTGTGCCATGGTCATTTTAATATACTGTGGCATGAGCATATGAAAGACTGTTTCAATTGCAAGGTTCTCTAATAAAGAAGCAGACTTTTCCAATATTACTTTGTCCCTTAAATTGCTCCGCTCAGGTAGGTCATCAATAGAATGTCCATGTGATATCTTCTTTTTCTGCTTTTTATTTTATAAGCAAGATACTCTAGTGGCCTGTGAACTTGCCTGCTGGAAGTCCATGGTCACTCTTCAATACAAGGAGAATGGTGGCTCACCACTGGAAAGCACTAGGAGATGATAAGTCAGTGACTTTCTGTATTTTCTGATTTGTAGATTTCTTAGATTAGAAATGGAGATTGATGGATAGATGTTTTTATTTAGTGACAATAGATTTTTTTTTCTGGATACACCTAGAAAGAGGACAAATTATATACTGTAACAACAACTGTCTCTGTTTCATTTTATACAATCTCCACGATGACTTTAATGGGTGTGGGGGGAAGAGGCACAATGAGCATGTCACTCGAGAATGATTTTTTCTTTATTTTAAAGGGGATCTGAGATTCCAGCTGATACCTCAGGAGGCTGAAGCCCTTTACAAAGGCAGCAGATGCAGTTCAGTATTGCTTTTTCTATTGTGCTTCAACTCTGACCACGGAAGAGCTAGCTCTTGGGACAGAAAGCGCTCTGTTTACACTCAGACCTTGGCATTTTTCCTAAGGGTACCAATTATAATGGTGTTTTTTGTGATATGGGCACACATCCATTATGAATTGGCTTGCACCCACCAACTCATTTTGCACAGGCCATGTAACATGCATCAGATGGCAACTATTCCTGGTCATGTGCAATGTTAAGGAAATCTAGATAGTTACCAGCAGAATAATGAATTCCATAGAATTGTTCCATTGTGCAATAATATGAAGTATGCTAAGAGAAAGTGCAGTTTCTCAATAATTGCCTCTTTTTTTTTTTTTTTTTTAAACCACAGGAATGATAGATTATTAATCATGATTAATGCTGAATTACTGTGAATTATAGTGGAGCAGTGCCTGGAAATCTCAGTATGTTTGGTAAACTTATTTTCTTGCATAATAGGAAACTTACCTTGCATTTCAGGGGCCTAAAATGTTGCTTGACATAGATGATTAAAGCAATGGAACCACCCATGTAATTAAAAGAAAAATTTAATAGGTACATACTTTCTTAGTCCAACACTATTGAATGTTTTTTAATACTGTACAAGCATAATAATAGGAGAAATACAATTGCAAACATCTTAATTGTTCCTGTATTTTGCTTTCTTCCTGAGAACCAAAGTCTTCTAGAGCTCAGCTGTAGCATTCAGCCTGAATCCCTAAGCAGCACTGGAATTAAGGCAGAGTTGTGCGTTGTCTTGACATTTGGAAGATATTGGTCATTCTGCTTGTGATTGCTTAAGATTGATTATGAACAACCAAAATTGTCTCAGAAGCAGAGGAAAGTCAAAGGAGATAAGATAATATGCTCCATCCCTGTATTTGGGGGTGTACATGGGCTAATTGTTGTTAGCCCATACCTAAAGGGACTCATAGTGTGCATGGAGAGTAAGGCACCAGAACAACGTTATGGAAGAGCTCATGTTCAGTCATAGAATTTCATTTCCTATGAGATAACTGGTCTTTAACCTTTTGGAAGCACACTGAGGCCTTTCACGTTCAGTCCTCTGTGTGCGGGGTGCAGTACGATATTTAACAAATGACAAGTTCTGTTGTAAAGAGTTTGTGTCCTAATCTGTATTGTGTCCTGAGAACACAGTGAAAGGAGGTGAAAAGACATTTTCTTCTTAAGGATGAGACTGCTGGGTCATTTCCAAGAGGAGATCCTTAGAGAACATCCCGTGGTCCCTTCCTGTAGAAGGTAGCAGTATAGCTTTTCGTTATTATCTCTGTCTCTCTCTTCCCCCAACCAATCTGTCAGCGCATTTATGGTGCTGAGGAGAGGCGTCGTGTCGGAGCGATGTTCCCGTTTGCAAAATGGTAACTTCTATTTGTTGTTCTGAGGAGCTGGTTTCACACGCTGTGGAGCTGACATCTCCCCGGGAGCACAGCTGAGTCCAACATGTTCAGAACAGCCATCCACCCAAACGCCTCCTACTCAAGCTCTCAGAGCTTCCTTCCCAGTAAATAAAAAATACAGAGAGCGCCTTGAATTGTTCCAAATATTTCTGTTTCACTGGAATGTCTACCCATGTTCAAATCTGATAAATGGGTATTTCTCTGGCCTCGGAAGTCAGTTTAGTGTGGGAATAGGATGGCTCTCTGAAGAGGAAGCCCAGTTTCTGAAATACTTAATGGAAAAGTCTGACTGACTTTCTCTGGTGTCAATGTATTAAAAGGTTCCTGTGTGTCATGGAACATTAAAATAGAATGTTGCAATTAGCAATTATACGGCAGAAAACAAAGCCATCACAAGCTGCTGCTTCTACTATGTGGTACGAAATAACAGGTTTTTCAAGGTTTCATTGCTTATACAGAAGGCCTCTAAAAATTTACTTCCTAAAACAGGAAACCGGGCAATGTGTCATTGTACACTTCAGACAAGGAGATATTGCTGCATTATTTAAAACACCACCATTCACTACAACAGCAGCTCTCAATGTACCCCACAGTGTGATTCAATTCATATAGTTGGGACATCCTGTCTAGCCATGGCTATGGCCATGACCATTGCAAGTCTGTCTTTGATCTTACCCATGCCCTGTAGCAGACATGACCTCAGTTTGCCAACCTATGGATTGCAGCATGAAAAAAAAGCTCTTTTGAATAATGATTCCTAGGAAAAAAGTTGGAAAAAAAAAATATTGTGCCAGTAGTCCTTAATTCAATTCCACAGCTGATGCGTGGAGACCTCACCCGCCATGGATGATCCCAGCATGGTCAATGTGTATCACCTTGCAGGCTCAGAGCTGGAACAAGACATCCTGGCTTGCAAGACATGTTCCCCATCTCCAGGTCCCTCAGTGGCAGCATTTTGGGGTACACCACCCTCTGGGTTCCTCTCCTGGGCTCCTTCCAGCCATTGCACGTGAAATCTCCCCTTTTGGACAGCAGCACCAAGAGCAAGGACTGCCAACATGCATCTCTATCGGTACTTCTCTAAGAAATGGTATGTGGGGCAAGTTTTCTCCTAGTTTGACTCTTAAATGTTTTGGGTCAGTGTCTTTATTCATACAAGTCCACTTGCCACTTTGTCAAGGACAACCTGTGGTGGAAAATGGAATGATCTGAGCCTCTGTGGCCCAATATGTGGCACTGACAGTGACTTGGTTCCTTTGGGTAGCTACAACTCACAATGTGACATCACAATTAAAATACACAAACAGCTCTTACTTCCACTGATGTCCTGGCAGGAGCATGCCAACAAGGTACACTGGGCTGCTCAATGCACTTCTAAGGTTTGTTGTCCTTACGTCTCTAAGATTTATAAGATACCTGTACAGAGATCGTTAGCAGTTCTACCTACTTCTTATCTTCTGATTTTTTGAAAACATGAATTTTCCAGAAGGGGGTGGTGGGGGGAGGAAACTCACATTAATTTTTGTTTCCATTAAATATTTGTGTGTCAGGAGTACAGATTTGAAACTCAGATTATTAAACAAGTGGCTACAATGATTTCAGCAATGCTAAGTATCCTGGCATCTTGTCCAGGACTCTTGTTTGGGATTCCCCAGGCACTTCTGCACTGAGATCAGTGGGGGTTTGGGGAGAAGTTTTAGTGCTTATACAAAGCAAAGACTGCCTTTGGTGTTAGTCTATAAATATCTAATGTGAGCAAGCAACTCTGTATTTTCTTCTGTGCTTAATACGTGCGTTCTGCACCCTCAGGCAGCTGAATTTACATGCTTTTGTTGTCATATGTGTAATGTGCAATATGCATTTCCTTTTTATTAATCAGACCTGCCATCAGAAAAGAGATAGAGGGAGTTTGAAAGCACAGCCAGGATAGATACTGTCATTTTGTAATCTTTTGTGCACAGGTGGAGATGCCTGTTTCCACTAGAATAGGTGGCAATGGTCTGCTGCTTGCAGAAATCTTACAAATGAAAAATCAGGAAAGGAGTTACTGGCTATCCACAGGGTAATTCTCCTCTGGAAGTGTGCAGTCAATTCCCATTTAGGCTAATTACACTTAAGGAGCCCTTTCCTATAACTAATGAACAATAGGCATAACCTGTTATTACATAACCATAGGCACGCACATTAATACACTGTCGAACTGCACTACCCTGTTAAAATGCTTCCTCTACAAAATTCACTGGAGATTTTTAGAGACATTTGCTGTAATTACCGCTAGCATGGTTTCTAATTCATTTAATTTTCTTTTCTACCTAAACTGAGCATATAAGTGTGTTTTAAGAGATTGAATAAATAAATTTTTAATTATAAAATGATGCTATATCATACATTATTAATAATAACCAACAATGCGTAATACATGTTTATGTATGGATCCATTAGGAAGATGAACTAACATATATCAGTCCTAAAATAATGTCCTAATTTGTCCTGTGTTCATGAATGGAGGAAATCCATGTTTAAAGCAATTAGAGGTTTATAAAAGCATCAGATTGACAGTGGGTAAAGCATCGAGCACACTTGGCACTTAGGAATTCTGTTGTCTTGTCGTCTATGGCAAAGGAGAAGACATTTTTTTGCCCTTTATTGGTTTCAGCAGTTTGTGAAATCATGCAACCAGAATGGTACAGGTATACAGACCTCCAGGGTGGGAGCAGCATGGTGCATAGTCCTGGCTGGCAAACACTCTGGTCATTATTGTCATCTTTAAAAAAACAAACAAAAATGAACTTGTCAGTTCACTTTTGGGCAGTTTTGAGGAATTTTGTCAATTATTTTCCTGTTAGCGATAGCAGACTTCGGAAATCTCCATGGCAAGTTCCAGACATTCCCCAGTCTCGTGGCAGGACTCGAAAAGGCTGCAATCAATGTCACAGTCACAGTTGCAGTCGTTGTTGGCATGGTCTTCGTTGGAGGTCTGGTAGTATCTATTGGATGGACAACAGGTATCTGTCAGCCAATGTTCACAGGTATCAGGCAGCATTATAAGAAAGTCCCAAAATTGGCAGAACAAGCAGGCCAGGATAAGTGTTGCACATTCATCTAAGAGAAAGGAAAAGCAGCGAGACATAAGAAAAAGGGTGTGCTTGGTTACCAGGTTTAGGCTAGTGTGACTACACAGAAATGAGATGCGAGACACCACACAGGGTAGGCTAAAAATACATTGATGATATCTACTTCCATAAAGTCAAATGAAAGGATTTATTTTCTACATTGTTTGTTCTGGAAAAACACCAGCAGCATGAAAATAATTTGAATTAAAATATTTTGTGGCAGTGCAGTTCAGAGGAGCAAGTGCTCTTAAAGTGTTTGGGCTATAAACTTCAGCAAAGGAGTGAACCTCATGTAGCAGGGATGCTCTGCTGGGGGGTTTGCAGTCTTGCAGGAGTTTGGAAGTGCTGCTGCTTTGTGATGCCACGTGTGCTACCTGACCAGCACTCATAACGCTGGAGTTTATTTTCTTTTTTACAAGAGTTTGTAATTAAAGATAAAAATCATCAGGCTGCTCCTGCTGTTTCTAGGAAGGCTGGGGAAAAAAATCAACAAAAGAAACCCCAAAAAAACTTTCAGGGGCATTTTTGCCTTCTTATTTAAACAATTCTTTTCTGGGCTGTTGGTCTGTTACCATCTGACTTGGTCCTTGCTGGGAGTCAGCGCACAAGCACTCCAGGCTTTCATGGGGAGTGGATCAGCCCCTTGGACTCTCCAGGTCTAGTTCTTGGTTTTGCACGTGGGAAGCCTGGAGGCGTGGGATAGGGCTCCCCTGGCTCGTTAATGCAATATGGCATCTGGATAATCTCCTGAGATGATCTTATGAACAAGACCAAATCCACACCCATGAGGGAAAACTAGAGTACAGGTTCATCATCTGCTTATAGTTTTATTTCTAGAAGTATTCTGTTTCAGTAAAAATGTTTAAGGACACCTAGATTGCCTGACCAAAGAGAGGGAGAAAAAGCAAGTGTGGGGAACAGTTACAGAGGGCAGCATGCTGATCAGTTCTCAGCCCAGGGTCCTTCCACCTCCCCACCAAAATGGGTTTCTCACCTTTTCATTCACAGACTTGTTAATTTTTGAAAGGAAACAAAAGTTTGGAAAATAGTATCAGCTAGGATGTGTATCCAGAGCCAGTGAATATTCCTGAAAACTTGGCCACGGTGATAAAAACTTTGTGTTATATTTGTTCCCCTCAAAAACCGACTAATTAACTCCCCACCGTTCAAACTACGGCATCTGGGGAGCTGCCTCCGGGTGCAGCAGGGCTCGGAGCAGGTGTGAGATTCTGACTGTGTGAATCCAGTTGGAGCGCAAAGACCCAGACCTTTCAATTTTTTTTTTTCCCCCCTCCTTGTTTTTGGAAAGGAAAAATGCCTTCAACAATATGAATGCCTTTTCATTGGTTCTTTCAGGAAAGCATATGGTTATAACCACATTTCTTGCCCTAGGATGACTAACTGTGAACTCATTCAACTGCATTGGTTCTGTTGTGGCATTTTCTCTCTCACGTAACACAAAGTTCACTGCCAGGAAGTTTCCAGAATTATGCTCTTTTTTTTTTTTTTTTTCCCTTTTTCTTTTTAAGAAAGCTTTCTTGACGAAAAACAAAATAAAAAAAGCATTCCAGCTTCTTTATTAAAAAAAAAAAAAAAAAGCAGTTAAAGCAGGTAGCAAGAATAAATAGCATGTGATTGATCTTCTTTCTAAGTAGCATATCATCACCAATGTTATCAATTTTAATACTTATTTAAATATGTCAAGATCTATTTAAGTTCAGACAAGCACAACTAACTTCTAAGTCAGTTCTGTAGAATAAGAATGACTAGGTTTTGGCGATACTTAGTAAATTCATGCTTATATTTTTTTCTAACTAAATGAACTGAAATAATTATAAAATTGAAACGTTTTATAAGGTGACACTGCTGCATTTAATTGTATGAAATTTACAGTGTAGAAAATGTAATCATTTTATCCAGTAGTCCATGGTGTAATTAAGACTATTCTTTTCAGATATCTTATGTTTATGAAATTTCCTTCATATACATAGATGTGAGAGATGAAATTCAAAATTATATATCAATTAAGGATCTTTCAGGTTTTTTTCTCTCCAAAGATCTGTTTTCTAATAACAGTTTTTTTCCTGAATATGTTAACCATAATGGTGCTTACGTAATCTTGAAAGAATAGATATGATTCTTAGGGCTTCATCCAGGAAAGAGAGCACACAAAAAGCACAAGATTTTAATAATAAAGTAATGTTTCAGCACAGAGTCTGTGATGTGCAGTAAAGATGCTTTTAAATTCCCATCAGAGCACACACCATGAACTGTGATAATGGATGTAACACATTTCAAAAAATCTGCATGTGTGAGGCTTTTTTGTCCTGTTTTAAGTGGGGTAATGTATATAAATAATAGATATTAGCAATTAAACATCCATTCCTATGCATTCATTTATATATTTGAAAATAAATTAGCCACAAACTGCATAAAAGAAGATGCAATCTCCTGTTTTCTGTTTTCCCTGCTGTTTGTGATACGGCATTACTTCATTTATCTCAGTGAGAACAACGACCTAAGCTCTCATTCTTTACATTAGTAGATTAATTACCACAAAAGAACTTCTAATAATTTTGCTAGCCTGCCTCATCTCTAAATTTTCCTGCTCTTGTTTGGTGGCTGTCGGCTCACCCTCTGCTCATGCAGATGATGCTCTGAACGAGCCTGGTCCAACTCTCGCTGAGGCCACGATGGTCACCTTTGGTGAGACGTATGATCTTTGGATCTGCTCCTCTCTGAGCGCAGGGAACAAAATAATCACCGGTTTCCTCAGCTATCGCTCTGCTTTCAGAGGTTCTCCATGCACCACTGAACAGGATTTGGCCTCATATGTGTGGAATAAGCAGTAACTTGTCAGAGTAGAGTGAGCAGAGTATGCAGTGACATCCACAAATCTGGCTTCCTTTGGTTTTCTTGGCTTCCATCCAGCCCTTAACATTATTAATTGAGCACAGATTGGGGTTTTTTTTGTTGTTAATTTCCTTCACTTTTAGCTTTTTTAAGGAGGATGAAATCTGTTATTTGCATCACATGGTACACACCTGTGTGCCAGTAATGGTTGAGGGTCCTGATCGGATAGTCAGCAAACTCAGAAAATAATGAGTGTCTGGACTAGAGGATGAGTCCTCTAAATGAAATAAATATTTCAGATCCTTCATTGAAATTAAATGCATTCTAATATATATCAGGAACATCCCTTTTATGACAGGATCAGTGATACAATGGAGATGGTTCCCGGAGAGCATGGCGGTTTATTGTGTTGATCTGTGTTTAGAAGTTCTTAATTCAGGGATTCTTGAATGATATACTTGATAGATCCCAACTTCATTGGCTATAACACGCTGATACATTATTGCAAAAAGCACACATAAGAAACTTCAAAAACACTTTTTTTCACATCCACTGGAATAACCAGGAATAGCTGGTTCTCAGCATAATTCCACTAACATCAGGGGGGGTATGTTATTTAGATTAGCAGGAGTCATGCCTCTTGGTCTGTAGTGAGTGTTCACCACCTTTTCTATTCCTTAATTCTTGGTTATACTACTGCCTCAGAAACTCTTACGAAAAATAATGCAGGTATCCGGCTCTTTAACTTGCGCTTTTACACAATAAAAAGGATCAGCTCCTTTTCTGAAAGGGTAAGACAGCTCTGATTATTAGCCCCAGAGCAAGTCATGCTTTACCAGCGTTCATTTGCAAAAATGCACTTGAACTGTTGGGCTTCTGCTGCAATTTTGGTTCATAACTACCTTTTATAGCACTTTGTTTTCAAATATGCTTTTTCAAAACGCAGAGCATACTGAACTAACCAAAATCCCATCCACGTGCATCCACCTGGCCCAGTCATCACAGACAGTTTTCTGTGGAAGCGGGGCAGATTATGAAGATTGCTCCTCATCCTGACCCCCGTGAGTTGTGCAGTGTGGAGGGAGGGTTCGGTGGTGAGTCAGCAGCACGGCAGAGTTGGATGTAACGGTCCACACAACAACTGCACATACAAGACCATAGAAGTAATGTGCAAACCACGAAGCACAGCATCTATTCAGCAACCACAGCAGCTGCTGCAGTAGCAATAGCAAAAGCAAGAGCCTCTGCTACTGGGGAGAGGTGGGCCCGTGTGAGATACTCTGTTTATCTGACACTGACATTAGTACCTCTGTGCAAACACTCATTACAAAAGTACAAATGCTCTGTTGCACAACAGGGTCTAAGCTCATCTTCTATGACTTTAATATCACTGACAGTTTAAGATCATCTTCTACAGATTCTAAACTATCACAAAAATGTCTGCAGGGTGATTAATGCTGCTTTTGGTCGTGTTCTTGCACCTCCTGTTCAGCATGTAAGCCTTCATTTCAAGTTAGATGCACATAGTGCTCTTGCAATGGGCATTATTCAGAAATCAGCTTAAATGTAATCTGTTTTATAAAACATACCGTCACTGTCTGTCTGATGTACTGATGCATCATCTTCAATGTAAGTGAATTCTCTGCATTTCTCCAGGGAAGCAATGGATGATGTGCTCGCATCTGACAATTTCTTCTCACTTTTGGTACCCTTTGATGAAGTGTCTGTGATGCTGAATTCTGCGACAGAACTCATAACAATACCTTTCACAGGCTTTTCATCTGTATGTTTTTCATTTGTAAGCTGGTTATCTGGTGGGATTAGGAAAAAAATAAAAGACTTGTTTGCAATACTAAAACAAAGATCTGAAAGAATAACATATGCAGAATTTCCAAGCCTACAGTTGTTTACTTCCAAGGCCTAACCCTACTTACCTAATGATTTCAGACTCTTTACACAAGTAAAATTTATTCATAGTATAAGTATTTGTGAACTTGGATTCTAAGGTTTTCTCTTAAACCCAGTGGACTTAGAGGTTAAGTAATAATTCACTTCCACTGCGTGGGATCAGATTAGGAGAGAGAAGGGAACTATTGCCTCGGTCAACATCTATTTCAAGTGTGATATTATAACTTCAATTTGTGATATAAAAGAAGACAAAACAATTACCTTGTTATTTTCAACAGCAGCTCTATTTCCCTAAATTTACAGCCAACTCTGTGCGTGTAGGTGGTACCTAGATGCAGATGTGCCAGCTCACCATGGGTCATAATCTTGTAGCAAAGAAAGCCAGATGGTCTCTGATTAACATCCAGATTCATTATTTCAGAACTTCATCCACACTTATGTTGTTGGCCAGGAAGTCAACTAGAAGATGGGATACTTCACATGCTGTCAGCGTGCCAGAGATGCAGCTCAAAAACCAGAGGGAGAGCTTAATTTTAAGCCCCAACTAGGGGAAAGGTTAAGAAGAGTTCTGAGCTCAATTTATTCTTGAAGAACTTCTCAGGCGCAGATAAACATAGGTTGATATATAGTTTCACTTACTTTCTGAAGTGATCAAGAGGCCAAGAAACACAGTCACTCTCTCTATAGCTGGGATGATAAAACCTCATCAATTCTTATCTACAGCTGATTAACTCCTGCACCTCACATCAAGCACAGCCTCACTTTTTATCTTACTTAAATCTTGTGATATGCTTGCTCTTGAGCTATATACAGAAAATCAATCTTTACAAACACCTCAGTTTTGCAAACATTACTTTCTGAGAGGAACAGTAAGTGCTCTAAAGCAGTTACTCTGCGCTCTGCTGCAAGGAGCCAGAAGAGAGACCCTGCAAATCTCTTGTTTTTCAGGTACCTTTGACCCCTGACATATATTAAAGAAAAACCAAGAAAAGATTGATGGAGAGTGAAACCTCGATGAGACTGCAGTTGTGTTCCATTGCATCCTTGCAGCCAAAGGAGGAAAAGTGGATGGGATGGGTGGATTGCAAGGTAGGTGAAAAAACACTGGGACCATCAGGTTAGAAGCGGGGGGAAGCAAGGATATGAGATCTCACTGGTATCTGGAGCAAGTCCAGTGAAGGCCACCAAGGTGGTGAGGAGTCATGATGTATGAGGAGAGGCTGAGGGAGCTAGGCTTGCCTGGCCTGGAGAAGAAAAGGCAAAGACCAGTGTTAGATGCTGTTTTCCACTTCACAACCAGGGTAATGGAGAAGCCAGACCCCCAACTCCTCCCAGCAGTGCACAGAGGTGAAAGGACAAGAAGCCACTGTCACAAGCTGCAGCAAGGGCAATTGGGATTGCATACGGGACAAATTCTTCATCATGGGAGGTGTAAATCACTGGGCAGCCCCCAGCGAGGCTGGGGAAGTGGGGAGAACTTAGCTGGGCACAGAACTCAGCAACCTGCTCTTACTGCCCTGGTCTGAGGCAAAGGCCAGACGAGGTGACTTCCAGAAGTCCCTCCCAAGCTTAGCATTTCTATGATTTCTATGATTCTGTTTACTTGCAGAATGAGTGAGCAATTAATTTAAATTTTTACTCATAGTCAGATTTCATGGTGGTTTAGATCATCTTCATGTGTTGAAATACGTAGAAGCAGAAAAGCTGGGTAGAGGTTAGCAGAGTAAGACCCTGGGAGAGGATAAGAAGAAATGCTAAGCTATCATTTTCATTTTAACTTTAAATCACTGCTTAAAAATGTGTATTGGCAGATGTTTTGGCTTAATTTTGAACTTGTAATAATGACAAAGTCTACTGTGATGGAAATGTGGATTTTCCTTGTCCTGGAGAGTTTACAGGTTGGTTTAGGGCAGGGAGCAACCAGTGGGATAGACAGAAGTAGAAAGGAGACAGTAAGACATCAGTGGCACAGAGAGGAGTCTCAGAAACCTTTAACTGTCAGGTTTTGTGAGTGTTACAAGGAAGGAAAGCCACAGGCGAGACTTGGGAAGGGCAGGAGAGGTGGTGGCTCGTCCAGGTGTGAACCAGCAGTGCAAAGCACAGCAGTGCTCGCCTGCAGCTTGGACACTTGGTCGTAAGAAACCAGCATCCTGGGTAAAGCATGTCTGATTTTGCCCATCTGTGATAATTTATTGATGGTTTTCCCCTAGAGTAAGTAACTATAGCTTCTTTTTTTCCCCCTCTCTGACTTCTTGGCCAGCCTCTTGAGTCTGAAATGTGAAAATTCATGCATTTTGGATATACTTACATGTACAGTAACCACTGTTTTCCTGTGTTTATAAATCAACGACATACCACAATTTTTCCTGCACTTTCATTCAATAACATTCCGTCTCCAGGAAAAGTTGTGCTAATTGAAGTAGCAGAGCTCTGGAGGAAGCAATGTCCCACTTACGCATTGGATTTATTGGATAATAATTGATTTGTGAGTCCAAAAGACACATGCCCCACCTGTTATTCAAATGCAGGTCTCACAAATGGATCTTGTTTGTCCAGGCTGAGAGCTACACACAGGCTGAGCAGTTGAATATGCACAGACCAGACTGAAAGGTCTAGGCAAGAATGGCGATTTCTATAATTTTCCACTTTCAAATTGGCCCAAAAGTCTAAACCAGATATATTTTAAATTGTAATATATCTGTTGAGTTCCCCATTTCTGCAACAATACAATGGCCTACAAATGCCTTTAAACGTTCAACGAACGAAACTGAAAAAAAGTCAGACGGAAGTAATCAGTAAATGCCAGACTAACATTTACTGTATCCATCGACTTCTACTATTCATGCTTCGAGTCAATTTTTATTCTTGAAGTGCTGTTGAAGAGAAATCAAAACCAGAAATAGAAAGGCATAGACATAACCTGAATTTTTCAATACAGTACCATCAAACAAAAGGGTAACAAAAGCTGTCATTCAAGGACTCTTCTGTTTGTTAAAGCATACTACATCTTTGAAAATACAGTACATTTTAGTGTCAGACTCTTAGTTTGAAAAGCTCCCTTTAAGTAATGTTATACTTGTCTTGTACAGCTAGATCAAGTCTTCATGCAATCACCGTAACAAGCAACTTGCTATGACAAGCGAGATCCTTGCTTCCAGAAAACAGTGTGATAGAGGCTAACTCAGTGTACAATTATAGGTCCCCATTTCATTTTTATGCAATTACCTTCAGTTCAGCTGTGGGTCCATCCACATTATGTCTTTTATCAATTTAATGTTTGCACAAAGTGTCTAAAGAAATAAAGATTATGCTAGACCAGCATAAAAAAAAAAAGTGGTTAGCGCTTTTCTTTTTCTTTTATAGTTTTGTTGCTGCATGGAACAGTAGCAGGTTGAGAGATTGGAACAAATAAGTGGAGCCAAATAGGCTTTAAAAATATATTATGTACCACTGATGTTATTTATGATTAGTGTTAGATGAAGATGTAAAAAAAAAAGTTTCAATTACAATTAGAGATGGGCAGAGGGTCAAACTTTGTTACTGTCTTTTAAAAGCTGGTGTTCAGTTTCAGATATCCACAAATGTCTGCGGTTTTAACGTGTAGAAATCATCCACTGAAGTGAATTAAAAGGGAAAAATTAGTGTATCGTAATGGAGAAAGCTCAGGCTATTTAGTGTTAGGCAGAGGCAGCTAGAGGTAAACCCCCCCAAAGTGCCATTTTTAAATCGTATCCTGAAATAGCAACGTTCTTCCTTAATTGGGGAAGCTGAGGCTTGCCTTGACCGTTGCAGTAGAAGACTGGTGTCGTTCACCCATGTTTATATTAAAAGCAGAGATAGTCTCAATACTCAAATGATTTTTTTTTTTTTTTTTAAGTTGGGTGATTCAGGTGTCTGATGACAGTATCTAAATTCATGAAAGCACAACATAAATCACTTACTTTCCACTGATGCCAGCCACAGATCCCTCTGGTTAATAGCGAGGAGCAGTGATACCAATGGCATTTACAGTAGGTCCCCTGACCCCTATTTCTCATCAGTGGCTCAGGCACAAACCAGGGTCTTGCAGCCCTGGAGAGTAGGAAGCTGGAGTTTCCTAGCATGCTTTTGAAATTAGTTTTTATACACTGGCATATAAAGGCTCTAAGTCTGGTTTTGGCAAGGGACAGGGGGCATAAGAGGTGCTCTGTTCTGCTGGATGGGGACTGCAGCAAGATGGGTGATGCCACAGAGCTATCTGGAGCAACAGGTTAGGAGGACCTGCCTCTGAAAGAGAAGGAAGAGAACTGATCTATCACCCCAGCACATCTTACAAGCAAAGGACAAGGGAGCCTGTGCCTGTACTCACCAGTGGCATTTTTTCCCAATCCATCCCGGCAGTGAGTGGCCCTTGGCCTCACACCCCGTGGCAAGGAGTCCCAAGGGTTAGCGGTGAACTGTGTGGAAAACTCTAGCAATTTAGGACGTATAACTTTCTAATTTCACCGTGAGGCATCTTCGTATATCAGTGCAGCAAAAGAACCGAAGGAACGCCTGGCTGATCTCCCTGCCATTCGTTATCCCACGCCCTGCTGTCGCTACCTGTCTATTTAATATATCACATGCTCATCTCTGAAAGAGCTGTGTGCCATGTCCACTCAGTCCTGAGATGAAGCAGGCAGAGCGACATCAGACCTGATGGATGATAACTTGTAAGTATAAAGGCTTGAACTGAACTCACTTGGTTTGAAAAGACTCATAATAAAATGAAACCCAAACCCCAGGTTTCGATGGCCATGTTTCAAAAAAGAAAATGTGAAAAGAAAAACAAAATACTTTTTCTCGCCAGTCTAAAGGACATAATTTGTCTGCCAGCAGCAATGGGAGGAGATGCTAGGGGTGTCTCTGCACAGTGTGACACATGCAGGGGGCCAGCAGCTTACCTGGACGGTCCTCGCTGCTCAGCGTCACCCCAGTGAGCACTGGGAGAGGCAGGGAGCTGGTGCAGCTGTCTTGGTGGAAAACCAAAACAACATTGCAGAGGGACACTCTAGATAAATGTGGTTTGGCACATGTATCACCCCCAGCCACTTAGTGAGAGTCATTGACTTCAGGAGTTGTTGCTTTAGGGGCAAATAGAGACAAGCGTGTTTCCTTGCAGGGGAGGTTACATGGGGCAGTGCACTGTTTCTGTTACCCTTGGTCTTATTTCTGGAAAGGAAGTAAAAAATAAAACAAATTGCTAAGAGAGAAAGTTTCATCTGAGAAGCAGGAAAGAGGATCACTGGCAAACACAGAAGTTCCTGTTTCAGGTAGGTGCAGAAAATTTGACAGCTGGGAGGTCTGCAATGAAATGTGGGGCATGCCCAAACACCCCAGAAACCTTAGGTGAGAATCCCAAATCATCAGCAAAGGAGGAAAGAGGAAACTGCATCCTCAAGCTCCAACCTCTAAGGCTTAGCCTTCTTGGTGGACAAGATGCCAAAGGTCCTCGTGGTGGCAAGCCCAGGTCCCCACATGAGTGCTGGGCTCCTCCACCTCTGCTACGCTTGCTAGGCCATCCGCTCCCTGCACGGGGCCTGGTGGCTTAAATCTCCCTTCTTTCTCTGTCCCAGGGTCAGGGAGGCAAAGTAGGAGTTGGGGGGATGGGACTGTCCCTACAGTGAGTGCAGCAGATGAAGCAAACTCCATGGGAACTGCACTCATCCATGTAGGAGAGGCTGGAGGGAGAGCGGGCGTCCCAGCTGACCCAAAGCAAGCTGCTCTAGACTAATATATCATGAGTGTTTTCATAGTTTCGTGCCCATTACATCTTGCTGAGCTCAGGCATAAGGATGCAGGGGATTTAGAGACTGTTTATTTTTGTTGTAGTGAAACAGGAAATAGTACACAAGGCTATAAATATATTTTGAGCTTCATATGACATCATAAACCTGTGGAAGTGCTTCTCTTCTGATTTATGATGATGGACTGGTAATTCACAGGAGCTTTGGGTTTACTTTTTTTTGCTGTTGCAGTAACAAAGCTAATGGTGCAATCCCTGGAGGGGGTATTATATCAATAGTGAATTTTTGACCTCATTGCATACGTTTTAACTTCATGAATTAGTGACCCAGCTGACTGTAAAGACTTCTATAGGCTTATTATAAATCTATCACAAGACTGGCAAAAAATTTTGGCCCGGATCCTAAACTCTGACAGGCATGTGTTGATGGACTGCATAGCAAGCACTTCCACTAATATTTCTCACTAATTATACCGTATATTAAAAAAAAAATGAATGAAGCCAATGTTTATATGTAGCTTTAACTGCTTTTGATATAAGAAAGCAACACAATCCCTAATAAATTTTCACCTTCAACATTTCTATTCATCATAATTTTTACCATGATGAATGAAGTTAGAACTGAAGAGGGAGGGGGTTCATCTTGAAATCTGTTCAGTGAATGACTGAATTTACTTCCCTTCCCCAACTTGCGTTGAGGAAGGAGGGAACAGATGGACACAGGAAGAAGAGGGAGGCGAGCGCGGAACGAAGGAGATGGGTGAGGAACAGATGGAGTCGGGGGAAAGCGAAGAGGAGAGTCAGCAAGGATGGTAGGAAAGTTTTCTGCTTGACCTTGAGTTGAAATGAAGATTTGCATACACCATGGGGCAGCTAGATTTTGGGATGCATCTTTTTTTCTCTTTCTGGCACTTATACCTCAAAGTCTTGTGGGCCATCCCAGCAGCCCAGTCCATCCCAGGGGATGTGCAGAACTGGAACCTAGCTTTTCTCAAGGGGACGGCTGCTGCAGGAGGGTGTCTGCAGTGTGTTCAAGTCCCGTGATGGTAATGGCAGGAGAGAAATGTGTGCAAATACACTACCCAAAATGGGTTGTGATGTTGTAAGTGTCCCAGGCATCCCAGCCAACCCAGAAATTGAAGCTTATGATTTTGAAGAGGTATCCTACGTCCTGTTTGCTAGGAGCCAATGGCCAAAATACTCAAAGTGATTTACAATTTTACCTGCTTAAAGTAAGACTTTTGAGATGGCCTGATTTTCCAAATATGCTCAGCATCTGTACTTTGAGGTGTATTGAATTATATAGCCCAAATCACTACTAAGTCTTGGAAAATCTTGATTATATTCTTAATTCTATTAAATTGCCTGCATAGAGTCCATTGGTTTGCTAGCTGAAGAATGGAAGAGGTGAAAGTTAAATATTGGCCATGTGTGTCATTCCCTTTGAAGAAAATGGGAGCCATGTGCACTCCTCTAACAGCAAAGTTTGGCCTCAACTATGATTTCACAGCTGGGCCCTAACTTCAGGAATGCCAAAGCACTAAATGACTCAGTTGGAGTAATCTGATCAATGCTGTATTTTCACCGTGGATTTAAATTGCACACACAGCAAGAGCAGTTAGTTTTCTTCTCTCTCAAAATCACTTTTCTCTGCAGATTTGATAGCATAAATATGAAATTTTGCTCTCATCACGCAAATAAGTGAAATGGCAGAAAACGTATGTCAAATAAAATGCACAACATTACGTCCTTTTTACTTTTTGGAGGCTGTTTAAGAAAATGGCTTAATTAATTTTGACTGAATAAAAGGTTCCTTTAAGGCATTTCAATAGGTGACATGAAAAATGTTAATACAAATGATCAAGACAATGGAGGTTAAAACTGTTTTGAAAATATGTTTCTTTTATAGATCTCAGCTGTTGGAAGAGTTACAGAATAAATATACGGTAGTGCTGACATTCAGTGCTGTTTCATCTTAGCAAAAGAGTTTTTAATAAAGAAAATTCTTTTCAAGGAATGCTTTCTGCAGCCAGTCTTCAAAAAGAGGTTTTCCCCCCCTCCTAGTTTAATAAAATTAAAGTAATTTATGTCATATTGATATGTCGATATGTTTTTCAATAAACTTTTTCCCAGAGATTTTTTTAAAATTCTCTTCACTTTAAAAATTATAATTATATGTCTTCCTCCCACTTTGAAAATGGCACAAGGTGCTCATTTGCAGAGCTCTACTGTTCAAATTTTCACTGAGAATAGAAATGTCATGACTCAGTTAACAATGCTTTATTATTCACATTGATCTTTTTTTATAGTGTTCTTTATCTCAAAAACATTGTAAATCAGATATCTTCCTCCCACTCTTTTGTTCATTTGCAAATTTTTATTATTCTAGTTTAAAAAAGCAATGGAGTGTCAAGAGTCAGTGTATATTGTTTATGTTCTTTTTTGCTTTAAAATTACTTTTAACTATAAAAAGACGTACAGCAGGAAAAAAAAAGCTGGATTTAAGGATGCTTAAAAAAGAATCGAAGGGATCAGTGTGATTTTTATGTTGTTCGCTTACACTTTATAGTTGTAACGGACTTTGCAAGAAGGGGAACCAAACGCTTTATGAAAAGGTTTTTATGTTCTAATTCAAAAGTCCCTATTGCATCAGACATCATCATCTGCATTAGACACTGGACATAATTCATGCTTTCAACGAACACAATAGCAAAATTCACAACTGCTTCTGCAGCGTGTTCACTGGATGGTTTACAGGTGACTGCCCGGAGACCTGAACTATCCATCGCTCTGCGTCAGAGCTTGGCGCCAGGTCCTCAGGAGCCCTCGGCTGATGAGCACCAAGATAAATCATTGGATTTTCGCAGGAACTTCACAGCTTTGGTATCAAGTGTTAACCGCAGCAGAAGCATAACCTCAGCTGGTCAGCAGGCAATGCAATCCCTGAAACCCACGGGTCCAGGTGCGGGATACAGCCGTGCATCCTCCAGGAGAGCTGTGCCAGAGCCCCCAAGGTTTGTTTCTAGATTGAATCTTCCAAATTCTGCTTCAGCCACTGTTTTCTTTCCTACCAAGATTTTCTTTAGGTGTCTTTTTATGTCCTGGATGTTGTGACTATGAAACGGCCTCCAAATCCATTATAGTAATTGGGGTTAGTCCAGAGAGCAGCAGGATCTCTTCGCATTTCACGTACTGCTTGCTTGTTTGGGGTTTTTTTGGTTTCTTTTTCTTTTACCTGTTTTGAATTAATTTCCTCCAGTTTATGATCAGGGCATCCTGGCATCCTGTTGTTACTCCAGCAGCTCTTGAAAGAGATCATCCTCTCTGGGAGTCTCTGAGAAGGAGTGACTATTTCTGATGTCAAATTTAAGCCCCAGATTGGATTTGTGGATTTTGTAGGTGGTGTGGCGGCTCTATCACGTGAAACAGCCCTAAAAAGCTTTTATAAAGAAAAATAAAACCTACTTTCCATATTCCTTTGTTTCTCTGTTTCAAGGCTGCACTTTCCTGACATTTTGCTAAAAGTGCTAATTAAACCAGCTCAGAGCAAGAAAGTCTCAAACTGAACCTGAACTGAAACCACACAGCCCTGTCCTTCCCACTCCAAGTGGAGGGCTAAGCATCTGTTTTTATTAACGTCAGCAGGTCACCCCAGCCACCACAGGGCCATGCCAGTCCCTGTCCCCTCCCCAGGCTGCAGGGATTTGGGAGGGGGCAGGTCCATCCCAGCACTCACGGGCAGCTGCTGCTTGTATGGCAGGGATAACTCAAACCCCTCAAATTCTCCTTATTCCTCACTGCAGAGTGTGAAGCTGGAGATTTTGATGCATTATCTTATCTGAATTGATCATGTTCTTTTAGAATTAAAGAAAAATTATTACTACTACTACTATAGTCCTTGCCTCAACAGCACTGCTGCATTAATTCAGTCTTCCTTCCTCTCACGGTTAATTACTCACCCCATCAATGAGGTTAAGACTGTCTGCCAATATGATCAAGTTTCAGAAACAAAATCCTAACCAGGACGGAGTAGTCAGAAGAGGACAGGGCTTTATTTAATGTGCTGGCACAGTAACTAAAGGTAGGTCTCACCCATGGAAATGCTTGTGCAATTGCTCGCTCTGTTTAGTTTGGGAAATGTATAGATAATGTAAACCAGAAAATACTGAGCTTATTACAAGGAACCTAAACTCTGTGTCATTAAATTTGGGAAGCACTTAAAATTCTCAGTTTTATTTTTGGTAAGCACTGTCTATTGAAAAGTGAAAATATCAGAGGGATCTCTAGGCAGAATTTGTGAACTTTCCAATGAAAAGACAGCACAGTGGCTTCCTTTCATGTCCCAAGGTCTTTGGCAACTGTGCCACTTTCTGAATGACACTGAAGTTTTGTGCCAAGAGTTTATTCCCAAAGCAGGTATTACACACAAATGGTTGCAAAGATATCCTTGCACAGCATTAATGCCAGAGGAGATCTGAGGCTGTCAGCATTTTGATTTGGTGGGGGGAAACACCATCAAAACCACATATATTCTTAAAATATATCCAAACAGTTTAAACTCGGTCAAACAGAGCTGCAAATCACAGAAGATGCAGCATTTCTCGTAGATGGTCCTTAAAGCTCTATTCGTGGTAAATTGGCATGTGGTAATATATGACTACAAAACCCCATGTCTTCTAATAAGTTATGAAAGCTTTTCTTTGATTTGAAACAAATGGCAATCTGTGAGAGTCTTATGTCTTCTAGAGACTTTCCTAGCGAACACTTCCATTTTGACCCCCTCAGCTGCAAGCCATACTGGAACACAATTGGGAGCTGGACTTGTCCACTAGTCCAAATGTTATTAATCTTATTGCCGTCTGAGCACCACTCCTGGTGATGCTGAGCAGCCTTTGCCGGACCATGCTGGAAAGCCATTTATTTAGCTCCACAAGGTCCTGATCCAGTATCAGCAGATGTCAATGGAAAGACTTCCAGGGACCTCAACAGATCAGGCTCCAAAACAACCTCCAACATGGTGGCCTTCTCTGGGTTTCTTTGCTCTTTTCCTCGGAAAGAGTTGTTGTAGACAAAGCACTTCGCAGTATGTGAAGCAGAAGATGTATCATACTATACATGTTTTCACAAAATATTTTTTTCCTGGGGACACGAAAGATGCAGAACATCTATTCTGGGGGCACACAGATGACATCCACTGTTTCTTAATTATGCAATAATTACTTTTAGGATGGTGCACTCTTGCCTACTCTGGCAAAGGCAAACATGGTAATGTTTCTGCTCACAGTATTAAACACACTTCTCTCGCTGTGCAGTGGAAGTATGTGTTTAAACTCGCAGTCTATCACTATTCCTGGATAGTGTAGGAGAGCCCAGGAACGCTCAAGATGTCTTTTCCTGTGTATATTAACTTGTTCAGAACAAAATAGTGTTCTTAGAAAACATGAATCTTATGGCAGAAGAAAGTTTCCTTCATGACTGTGCTACAAAGGTTTCCAAACAGCTGCTTGTTCATTTGGGTGCCTGAAATATTAGGTTCAGCCTGCTCACAAGCGCAAACACATAATTTCTTCTCACCGTGGCACCCTCGCTGTGGTCGTTTCCGCCTGGCTTTGTAATGTTGGCAAGTGCAGTACTAGCACAATGTCTTCATTGTACGAGCTTTCAGAGGAGAGCTGCAGAGTTCCTGCAGCCTCCGTGAAATGCCAGCCTCTCCCCAATGCCAGCTGTTTGTCCTGCTTTGCAAGGAACTGCACTCCCAAGGAGTTTTGCTGGTGTTGGATGTGAGCAGTGAACACCAGATGTTTCAGGTGTTGCTAGATGGTAGGTCAGCATGCTGTGGACCACGCACAAGGATCAGATGGTTGGTTGGGTGATGGTGACCTACAGTGCACCGAGCTCACCAAAGCCCCAGGAGCAGCATCCCTTGTCCGTGCTCCTCGGGGCTGCCTGGGCATGGGGGCAGGTGAGAGCTCAACCCTCTCCCCAACACTTCCTCACATCAAAACTTTCACTGAAGCTTTTGCTCAAGGCTCAGGTGTGCAACCCCCTCCAAGCAATGAGGTCACAGCCCAGGCCCTGAGAGGAAAAAGTGGGTGTCAATGAAATGGAAGAGGTGTCACTGTTTGAACACACAGATTAGGCAAAATCTAACCCCCATGAATCCTTCAGAGCAGGGTCTCTGGTTTGTTCTTTTTTCAATCTATTCTGTATTCAAAGCAAGTACATTTTTTCTGTCACTATACCGCTATTGTTAACAACTATAAATGTATTAAAAACACAGGGGCATTTTAGTATGTGTATTGTGCATAAGAAATATTGTTACATGACAAGCTCCAATTGGCAAGTGAAAAGAGGTTTTATTGAAGGAAATAGCAGTAGCAAACAGTGAACTATGCAGAATAATGGTAATTGTTCCTTTAACATTGGCAGCGCACGTTCACTTAATATAACTGCTCCTCTGTCTCTGCCTCATCCAGACCCAGAGGACCTGTTAGACAAGCAGGCAGCCACCTCTCTCTGGGATCAAGCTGTCAATGCAAACTTGCTTTCTTTCTATTTCTCGGAGCTAAGCTATACCCCCAGAGCTCCTGAAGCTTTTCCTGAGTGAAAGCTTTAAAAAAGCTCCATTCTAAATTACATCACACGAGCTGTTCTCTTCAGACTGACAGAACAAAAGCAGGGGGAGAAAAAAACCAAAAGTACCATCTGAATGACTTCTGAGTCGCACAGAATGATTTACCTCCTCATGCTTTATTAGAGCAGACTAACATTGTCTTGACCTTGCCTACCAAAGCCCCAGCAGTGTCCTCTAACTAGCAGAGGAAGTTTGCATCATGTGTGTTTGCAGTACAAATAAACACAGACGTTGGGTGCAGGCTTTTTGCTTGCAACAGCATCTTCGATGCCCCATTAAGAAAGGTCCTAATGAGAGCATGGTGCTTTCTAAACCTTTTTAGATGATGTGGTTGCTAACACAGCCAGCTCATCGTTACTGGAAGAGTCCAGCCTGTGGGTACTGCAGAGTTTGGTGTGCTTACCCTCTAATCAGTGACACCCCAATTAATGGTCATGATGAAGATTGCTGAGGGCCAGTGCCAAAATCCGAGAGGTCTCTCAGGTTGGCTCCATCTGGGACTCCCCAATTAAAGGTCATCATCAGAAGTATGGGGAGCAGATAAGCATAACCTACTTCTGCTGTGGCTGAGTAGGAAGCAAATAAATTAGCGTTTCTCCCTCTTCAAAAGTCTTTCAGGTGGTCTGGATTGGTTTGAGAACCCTCACTCAGGAAAACATCCTCAGCTGAGAAGGGAGGGGGCCATGGGCCCTCCTCCTCTTCCTCCTCCAGATAAATAAAGGTAAGAGAAAGCAACAGTATCATGGCTGTTCTCCAGGTAAGGTGACTAGGTGTCAGTTTGGGGGTTGCCTGATCCCAAAGTAATCCACTAAGATCTTGCAAATTGAAACAAATAGGGTTTGTGTGGCTCATAGGCTGGCATTTTTGGGGTTCTTATTCACTTTTCTTTTTCAACTTTCATAAGAAAATGGTTATGAGGTTAAGAGCTTGTTATCCTCATATTTAAAAGCTTGTAGGCTTGGTCCACTGCACAGCACTTACGTGGTTGTTCTGCTGTTTTGAGTGAATGTTAAAATGTTTCTTTAAGTCATTAATACAAATAATAGTCTCATTTAAAAGATGGGCTGAAACAGATGATGAGTCAGTATTAAGGCAAAAAATGTTGCTCAGTTTCCCCATGGAATTAGAATAATAGAGCTCACTTTCTTGCATGAAAGGCACCACCAGTAGTTGCAAAGATGTGGTCCTGTGTACTGTGGGGAGAAGGAGCTGATATGGTGGGGGACTTACCTGAGTCTCCAAGGGGCTGTAGGATGGGGCTGCCCAGTTCTGGAAAACAAGAATGGGAGAGGAAGGTTTCACTAAACAGGAAATGCTCCTCAGGTGGTGAGGTAGCTTTGTTACCCCACACAGGCAGCAGTGTTTTGTAAACACCTCAAAACAGCATTGTTATCAGAGGAAAGAGAAAAGTCAAGCTACTGGGGCTGGAGACTTAATCCCCTGATTGACTTCACAAGTATGGAAAAAACAGCTCTCAATAGAAGCTGGGAGATACCCTTCCCTTTAAGGGTCCTGTGTTCTCTAGCCTCTCACTGAGATGATTTTTTTTTCCCCCTGCAGGGGACACAGGCAGTTTTCATATGGTCAACAGAACTTGTCTTACCCAGAGGAGCAGAGACTTCCCGAGGATCCTGACTCGCTAAAGCAGTGTTCATCCCTGAGTGAGTAAAGTTTAATTTTTTTCCTATGTCTTTTTGGTGGCTCATGTCTGAGTGGTCTTCACACACCTGATCAGTGAAACGACTCTGCCTTGATCCATAAAGGACCATACTAATGCCCATTAAAGCTGATGGAAATGTTTGGCTTCAGGGCGTACAATATCAGGTGCTGTATCTGCTTCCTACACCAAATCGTGAAAATCTTAATTAGGCAAAGTCTTCATTAAAATAATTGCAACCGAGGAAAATGCTGGTAATGAACCTGAAAACAGACCTCATCACTGTGTGCTTCATCACATTCCTGTTCCTACCAATGGTACGTGTGAAGATGCCGGACTTCCAGTTTTGGAAGCTAGCAGAATAAGTTATTAAACATAACCACTGTAACAGGTGTAGTCTAGTTTTCTGAACCATGGTTTTAGGATATGTTGGATGTTCAAGTTCAGTTTACCCATCTTTATATTTCTGTTTCAGCATGGCAATGCTTCCTCTGCTTTTAGGTTTATTTGGGTTTTGCGCTACCTTTGACCACCGTGGTATCTGAGTATCTCAAAATCAATAATGATGGCAAAGCAGAAAACTTCGTGGTGTTTGTAGCATTATGCATTTCCCCTCTGCTTAGAGGGGGAGACATAGGTCTTTTCTAAATGGCTGAATACTTGGGTGGCATTGTGATTCCACTGGATGTGGGATTTTGTGTATAGGTTGCTCAAAGAAATAATGTTCTGCAGTTTTTCTGGTAAATGTGGATCTGAACACAAATTGTGAAAAATATTAGCCTACTGTGTAAATCTCAAGTCGTGCTTGTAATAGTGGCAACCAGAAGCTTGCTTGCTTATAAAACGAGGAAAACATGATCTGGACATAAATGTCAGACAGCAGACAGGGTGCCAAGGTCCTATTTCCAGGCTTTTGATTCAAGCACAGCTGGGCTTTCACCAGG